GAATTAGTTACGCTTAAGATGGGTCTGTGGTAGCTGAATGTAATGTAAGGTACGGTAAGGTAAGGTAATGTAATGTTTTATAGGTAACAACAATGCCGAGTAAACAGATGACGTTTCGTAGGTAACCATTGTTACACTTTTTCGTTCCCCTTTTTCGCCGAATGACCCTTCCTTATAGACGTATTTACGTCAAAACAGCAAAAATCTAAATAAATACAATTTATAATTACATTGTATAAATAACTGCGTACTTGGTATTTTTAAAACCCCTTGGTAATGATGTTCATTTGGCCCAGACACAACAAACTTCTTGCTGCGAAGCCAGTCGCAATTCAGACAGCACACTGCATTGCCAGTTGTTTTTTCCACCTACACTTCATACGCATAATTTCGAAAACGCTTAATAAAGAAACATTTTAATGAGAGATACATTTTATATCATAACATATTTAGTACGATAAGCGATTTTAAGGAAATGCACAATTTATATTCGAGCTTCATGTAAAGTACAACTTTCGTATTTGACCAATACAAACCAACGTTTAACTCGATAGACAGTATGGAGTTTAATATTGACACATTAACCAAATTCGGTGATAAATCATTCAGGGGGACGCGTACAAATGCTATTATATGCTTGCACTTTGAGCACTTCATATAAAGAACGTATAATAATAGGAACCCAATAGTTTGTGGTCTGAAATTCCTACTTCATTATTTAATGGAGTATACAGAAAATCGAAGTTAAAGCTTAACATTAAAATGTAATAAAGCAGTGACACTAACAAATATTTCGATAAAAACGACGCGGGTTATCGCAGTAATGGGCAGGTCACTGCATGTTGAAACTGCCAAACAATTTTTACACGTCTGACACTTCCCTGATACAGACACAAGTGAAATGTTGTAAATCTATTAAGACTGGGATCTGTCCTCCAGACAGCATTATAAAATCAAGGTGAACTAGGCCTCATACAGCTTAAACAGCTGGTGCCCGGCGGCCTTTACAAACCTAGCAGACAATGTCATAAGAACGAAACAATTTTTGTGTATGTCACTAAGATTTAAGAACATACTGTTAACATGTTCGATATAAAACGACAACGTATTAAATATAGATGTTACTTACAGTAAGATAAACAATTCAACACTTTTAAATGCCTGGGACACAAACCTATTACCGTAACTATTTTAGCGATTTTAATGTAAGGTATGTGGCCTAAATTTTGCATGCCGGTGTTAAACTAGGCCTTGGCTCAACAATTTGCACCGGCCGATGGTTTGAACGAAATGATCGGTCGTTAGAAAATTCAGTCCTGTTGATTAAGCATGGTACCACCGGGTTAGAAAATCCGATGAAAAGTACGATATGATGAAGGCAATGTTTTCAGAATAAATCTTAGACAGCGAACATCACGGTAAAAAAGTTTAGCAAAACTGCTCCGACTTCGGAAGGCAGCTATCCGGCAAAGAATACCGATCGAACCATCATCAGCCACCCAGACCGATGGTTTTCGTTGTTTTATAGTCTCCCCTGAGACTACCGAAGAACTGACTCGACGTTGAAGCCGTGACGTCACGCTGAATGCTATTCAAAAACATTGCGTCGTACTAAAAATGTCCCCACTGTTGGAGCAGATACTTGTTCCAACGGGTGTGTTACCAGTGACCCACCTAATATGCGAAAAAATACAAGAATGAAACAAAACACTATAAAGGTAAGAAACAAAAACAAAAACAAAGAACTGAGTCAGCCGATGTTTCTGTGCTGGGTACGAGAACGGCTGTGCAACTGCGCGGGTGTGTACTTCTTCTTGAAGGTAGAGTCAATTCTCAGCTCAGGCAGTAAGCATGTTGCTGTGGCCATGAGTTTTGCAGCACATACTTGGTCGATGGAGAAATGAAGGCCACAGATTAACCGAACAAGCTGATGAAAGTTGCGGAACATCCCACAAACAAGCTACGGCCGTCTCATTTCAAATCCTTTCACACACGTTTTTGCTAATGCTGTACAACCGGCTCATTCCCGAACGCAGCATCACACCCGCCAGCTACCAGCCAAATCGTCGTGATGCTGGAATTTGCCTGAACCGAACTGTAGAGAAGCTGACGCAAAGAAGTGTCGCTTCATACAGCGTGTTCGGAGTCGCAAGGAAGCCCTCAATCAATTAAAAGGGCCGTTGGTGTGTTCTGCTACAGTACTTTAGCTGAAGTGCAGTAAATGCTTGCACAAGGCTGATTTAAAACAGCAGGGAAAAGCGAGTAAACAAGGAAAGGTGTAGGAAACGATGAGGGCAAGATAAAAGAAGCCAAGAACGGACTGTGCCAAGACTCAACTCTCCCTAAGACCTTGAACGCAAGAGTGACATATCTCAAATCCCTCTATTTTTGAAATTCTGTCACGTGTCACCAGCTGAGCTGAGGTGCAAGGCTGAACCTTGGGAGTAGGCACCAGAATTGTGTGTTGATATTATCTGTGGTCGGTGCAGAATAGATCAGCTGAGAGGAAGCGAGTGGAACCTATTCTGCTTCCACTGAACAGAAAACAGCTGTTCAGTAATTCCCTGCTCCCAAGTCGGGTTACTGTAAACCAGTGGTATTCAACCTGGGGTACGCGAAGACATCTTAGGGGGTACGTGAAGTTTAAAAAATATATATATTATTTTATGATAAACACTGAATAATCAGTAATGTAATTTATTTAATTTATTTTAGATGTAGATTATATACTATGTATAACTTGAAATATACACCAACAACTTCGGGGGTACAAAGTTGAAGAGAAATTATATCTGGGGGTACGCGAATAAAAAAAGTTGAATACCACTGCTGTAAACGAATACCCATATAACATATGCCTTTAAGGTTTGAGGGTTGTTAATAAGATGATTTCGAACTTTCGGCACCCACAATTAAACTGAGAATAAATGTTGAAATACGTGAGGTTTTTTGGTCGACAACACACCAGAAAATTCCCACATTCAGAAGGAGATGGAAAAACCAAGAAAAAGAAATGGGCGAAGACATGGCGTGGAATTATAAAACTATAACAAAATATGAGGACAAAGGAGGCGATGGAAAAATTACGCTAAGCCAAAAATTTATCAATGATTTAAAATTAATTTCAGGATAGCGGTACCTCCTGATCTAACCTGCCCGATCACAGTAACTTACAAATATTCGCCGGAAACAGTTTCTTGTCCAGTAAATATTATGCTTGATAAACTAGCAGCT